ATGAATAATTTTGATGAAAAGAGAGATAAATGCATGTGTCATTTAAGAGCTACACTACACTGATGCACCACATAGACCTCAGAAAAATTAAGTTAACCGAATGCATTTATAAAATTGTTAAGGAAGTGTATTGTAAAGGAGCTCAATGAATGTCACCTCACACTAACAGTCAGATGACAAGTGCATAAAACATACGTACATCTAATTAGTCTGTGTAGATTAAAACTTTCTACTTTTGTGAGAAAACTTGATAAGAGTACTACAGCATTGACAATTGACATATTATTGACGTTTTACACCAGCCTGTGTAGATAATTCTAAAACACAATCTGCTCTGTAGATTGATTCAGAACCAAATCATGACCTCCAGGGGAAGGGTAGGACCACTCAAACTAATTTTTTTAAAACTAGACCCAGAGTTCAGGCCCCACCGCCACCAAAAGTAGTTGAGTATAAAACTCAGGCTCAACTCTGACAAAATTCTCAAACCCATAATCTCAGCCTCAAGTCACCGCCACCAAATATTTGAGTACATACTCAAATCAAAAATTTGATTACGTACTCAAATTATTTGAGGTAGATCTTGACCTTTCTCAAGTAAATGCTCAAGCAATACAAATGGCTGCTCAAAGACGACATAAACAGCGCCGCCGGCGACAAATGGGACGTATTCGTAGAATTTCAAAAAGAGTCATACGAGACCGAATGAATCCATTAGAGATATATTTTGAGGATGAGATTTTTGATAGGTATAGGTTTAGAACACCAACTATCCTATATATTTTGGACAAAATCAGTCCAGCAATTATGCATAATACAACGAAGAACAGCATCTCGACATGCCCTAATTTACATTCCGGCAGAATTATCAAGAAATAAACTCCCCTAACTTTCAAAGAGTTATCATAGAGAAAAAAATTAGAAATGGAAATATTAAGAAATATCTACTCAAATAACTTTAAAATAAGCTTTTTTTTCATATGGACGGCACAGATTTTTTTGGTTTGAAAACATTCAACATGTAAGAGATACTTATAGAACTACACAAACGGCTACGGTTTACGTAGTTTCATTCATGTGTCAGAAGAAAAAAAATATACCTTTTTATTTATTTTTTTTAAATCCGAAAAAATGAGTTAGACTTACCATGCATGCTTTTTCCAAACGTTTTAGGGTGTGTTGATGGCACATTTATTTTAATTATTGCCCCTAATGACAACAAAACTGCTTATTTCAATCGTACAGGTTTCCATTCGTTGAACGTACAAGTATATTTTTTGCGATGTTTAAAAAAAATGTGCACGGATTTAAGACTTTTTAGAGTGAGAATTAATAATTCAAGAAAAAAAATGTCCAAATCCTACTTGTTAAATAAATAGAAGGGGGTTCAAAGTCGCTTCATTAATCTTATTACTGTAAAACACTGGCGGTTGCCCCCATCAATTCCGTGCATGTTGATGTTGTCGATCAATTAACGCACATTTTAAAAATCAAGCAGCCTCAACGCTATACTTGTATAATTGTGTTTCGTTTTACATGAAATTTTTTAAAGGCTGTTTGCGATTACAAGTATTTGTGCGAAATGGCCTGGCAGCGTTCATGACAGCCGAATATGGCGCGAATCTGCATTGTGTCAGAAATTTGAGAATGTACGAAGCGAAGAGATGGTGTTGATTATTATAAACACACTTTAGATCTAATAAGTCGTTATTTAGGGGTAAAATGTTTTCACTTTTAAGCAGCCTCGGAAGATTGGACAAGAAAAGTTCAGTATGTAATGCGTGCTTTACGCAGAAAGCATCGTTTCCAGAGCGTTTGATATTATTAATTGTTAGTCCATCTCGTATTTTTTTTTTTGGTAATCTCAGCTTTGCTACAGACTTTCAGCAATTAATAAAAATGTAAATTTGATGTTTTTAAATGAATTTTAGTCAGTGTTCTCTGCTGAGCTACACAACTATTTGTAAACAACTTCTTAAAAGTAATTTGGTAATAATAATACGTGCATGTATTTTTGTTTTTGTAAAGTTTTTTTAGTGAATGATATTAATGAACTTTAAGTATTAAGTTTAAAGCACACATGATTTGATATAGAATAATTTGTTGATTTAATGTCAAGGCAAAAAATGAAATAAATAAAGTACTAATTCTGTTGAATAGTTTTATAATTTATCATGTTGATTTAATGACAAGACAAGAAATGAAATAAAATATAAATTTTTTAAAAATAGTTTTATAATTTATCAAAATATCGAGATACGTATCGTATCGTGCCAATATATCAAAATACGTATCGTATCGCAAGATCTGTGTATCGTCCCACCCCTAATATTTACATGAAGGAACTGCTGAAAGCTGCAATAATGTGCGAGCATACTATGCATGTATAATATTTCAGTATATGTAGTATTTTCTAATTTTTATGTCTTACTCTCATTTTCAGTCCTTATTCGTCTACATGTACATGTATATGGAAAGGGGGGTCCATACCCCAAGTGCTTGTTAAAAAAATTGATACCTCTTTGTTTGATGTTGTTAAATTTTTTCTTTACTGTATCGTTGTCTCTGTCATTTTTGTAGCTTCTACAACACCATCATTTTGAATATCAACCGCCCGAGAGTATTTAGAAAAGTAAGCCATCGAAAAAAAATCAGAAGAATAAGGAAACGATGGCATTTTATACCGACTTTGGTGTTCAATACGATATTCTCTATATTTATACAATAATAATTAATAGTATATGAATGTATAAAGAATACTTTAGAAAATGCTTTAACACTTAATTTAAGTCCACAGAACATAACTGGAAAAATGGGGGGGTGGGTGGGTGGCAACTGGTCAGACAATCGTATGAGAAAACTATGGATAACAATTACTTTTAGTCAGAAGTTTATTGAGATCGCCAATTAGGACATATCAAAAAATATCACTGAATCCGATGTAACGAATACTGAGTGAGTATTCATATTGTATAATTTGATTTGTTATAAATTATTGTTAAATGAATTGTTAATTAATTGTATCAATTTCAATGAATTTAATCCTTATAACGAATTTAATTCCGTTTCTAAAAATTGTTGATTTCATTTAAGCAATTTGAAAATTCTTTGTGTAAGCTATTATAAGAATTAAATTCATAATGAAATGGATAGAAAATTCTTATATACAACGAATCAAATGTGAAATGTTTTCATTCTTGTCAGTTAATGTTCTGCAATCTAAAACGTTTTTTTTTTCTATAAAAAAAAAGCCGCATCGTATTTTTTTTAACTTTAGATCTAAATATACAACTGCACATCTGTCATCATACACAATGGATGTCAAACCGTCACGATCCAAACAGTATTGGGTCGAAATGAATAGTTACCCATGTAAAGACTGAAGGGAGATAACTACTAAACTTTATTTACGAGTTGGAAAGGAAAAGTTAAGTAAAAACTTAATAAGCTATAATATTTTTTAAGTGTAGAAAAATTAAATGCTTTGATTGAATATGCAACAACAACAGAACTTACAAGTTAAGGGTTTCTGAGATGGATTTCGGATTTTCCACGTAGATTCTTTCAATTTTTACCCTTCACCCTCGAACCCTTCATTTTAAGAGGGTCTCTTCATACTTCAAAATCTCTTCTATTAGGAGGATCTCCTCCTCTGGAGTCCAATTGGTGCCCCTTTTCTTAGGATTATTTTGTTCTGTCGGGAGTTTTACTTCGACAAGATCCATGTTTGTGAATAAAACAAACAAACAAAGCAGACGGCAATACCTGTTTATTACGTAACAAACATTTCATCAAATTTTGTGTACTTCGTATATTTCGTGATACCGCTTAGATCATTGAAAAAAATTGACTGAGTATGTACTCAGTAGAGTTGAGAACCTAAAAATTCATATTCAACAGAGTACATACTCAACTTTGTTGGTGGTGGTGATTTGAGAATGTCCTCTGTTGAGGATGGCCTCAACGCTTGAGTAGTGAATTGAGGCTGAGTACGGTATAATTTTGGTGGCGGCGGGGCCAGAAAATTGTGTTTACTGTAGAACTTTTTTCTGGAATGCAAATTAATAAAATATTTACATAATATGTATTTAAGACTTAACTAAGGATGCTATAGTAGGTTCGTATACACTTGCATGTTTTGTAACACGCTAAATCTTCAGTAAAGAGTGAGCAATCTATCAGATTAGATTTCCACCCACAAAATGAGTCTATAACTAGCACTTCATGTTAATACAACAGGAAGGCCAGCTTTTGCTCTGTACTTTGAAATATTCAGAAGAACACTTTTCTTTTCTTTGCGAGTGACAGTTACTAAAACGAGTAGTATTTATTTTGAAAGAGTGGTAAACAGAGATACTAGTATTCGATTTTAAACTTCTGAATGATTGTATGAATGGATGAGTGTTGATTGTACTTAGAGAGACCTAAAGACGTTATTGGTAATGTAACAACCAAGCTCTATGATAAACGTGTTGCTTTTAACTTTTCAATAGTCAACTTCCCTTACTTATGCAGCAGTATACCTTACGATGTAAATTATTGACAAACAAGTTGATGAAACAAGAATATCAGCAGTCTCGTTTAAAATCATCATTTTGTAAGTTCTATGGTTGATGCAATGACTTTGTCAGCAAACACATTTATCATTGAGTCAAATGATGACTGACGATTATCCTACTAATTGTAGGCCATTGAATTGACGACGGATTTTCCCGTTATTTACCGACTGTGACAAGGAGCATATAGCGGGTGTAACCCGTTGGCAGGGGATGCTCACTCCTCCATGGCACCTAATCCCACCTCTGATTTTTTGGAGGTCTTTGTTTGCTCTGCTCCTACTTTGTATGTTTTATGAACTTTTGAGCTTGAATACTGTTCTTTATCTCCATATATTTCACCTATATGTGTCTTAAAACTTTAAAATTACACTTTTCTTGTACAACTGTTTACTCTGGATGGTTATCTTTGTATGTTTATGACCATTTGTTATTTTTCCACAGCTGTTAGGATGTGCTATGCTGGGGGTAGGGATCTGGCTCCTGGTCAGTGACGATTTCTCCAAATACTCCGATGCTGACGAGAAGCTGGGGTTCATTTATACTGGAGCGTACATCCTCGTGGCTATTGGCGCGCTGATTATGATCATCGGCTTTCTAGGATGTTGTGGTGCCATCAGAGAAAGTCAGTGCATGCTGGGATGTGTAAGTGTTTAAATTCTTAGAGTATTCAAACTAAATGTCTTAAAAAAGAAATCATATACTATGTTCAGGATGTCCCATTATACTTCTTTTACAGTAGAAAGTAGAAATTGTAATGATACAATATGTTTAAGCATATATAGGTCTATGCTTAAATGAACTTACCTCTTGTTAAAACAGAATGTCATTGCAAGTTTGAGAAGTACTCGATTGAACTGTTTAATTATGCAGAATAGTTAATTAGATAAAATAAAAGAAACCATTGTACTTTTGGGGGGATTGAGAAAACATAAAATGTTTTAGGTTTCAGTATATATTACATTGTTTAGTAGAAATGTTTGTGGCAATCCCGATTTTAATTCTGGTCCTATTCTGTAGTTCTTCGTTCTCCTATTCCTCATTTTTGCTGTACTTCTCGGCGCAGGAATCTGGGCTGTCATAGCAAAAGATGACGTGAGTATATCGTCATGTATATACAGTTTAGAATAATGGCATGCATTGTTTTCCTTCATCAACTTTGATACAGTTCTTATCTTAATCATAGTCCATAAATATAAGGAATTCATTGACAGCAGTCTAGTATTATTTGTAAGGATTTTGATCAGGATGTTACGATTTGTAATTTTATATTTACCATGTTTATAGGTCAAAGACCTAGTGAGAGATGTCCTTAATAACCAGATTGACAGAGCATGCGATGCCAAAGATCCAAATTCAAAGAGCATCAACTTCTTAGATGATGTGCAAACACAGGTAATCATTTCTTCTGAACTTATCACTTGCATATCAAAGTTCCTTCATGCTTATATTATGATGGATTACTTCTTTGCATTCAGAAGCAAAACCTGTGTAAAACACAAAGTAAAAATATTAAACTAACGTGTATTTTTTTTTTAATCCCCAGTTCCAATGCTGTGGTGTGGATGGTTTGAAGAGTTACGGTATTTTCAGTGACTGTAAGGCCTCGAAGTCAGAGCCCTGCAAACCTGAAAACATTAACAACGTAAGGCCTACTGAAATCACAAATAATGTAGATAAATATAAACAGTGTAAAACCGTCCTGGTATCATAAATACTGTAGTTACAATGTACATGTAACTAAACATTAACAACGTAAGACCTTACAGATATCATAAATACTGTAGATAAACATAAACGTAAGATCTTACATGTAGCGATCATGAAGACTGTTAGAAAATTTATACATCTATATTACTTATTTTACTAATTAGTTACAACTTAAAAAGGACATTATTGCATTTTATTGTTTTTTATGCTGAAACTCTATGAAACCATTTATAACATAAAACTTTACTTATTTCTGTAATAAGTGATAACTTTAAAAAGAATAAATATAAAATTAATTTCCTAAAGGTACTACCATTATATATTACTGATTATATTTCGTTTCGTTTTATTACGATAAAATTATCGCAGAAGAACAGACATTATCTCCGCACTATGCTGTCTGCTTAAGATTTATTTAGACAGATATGTTTGTACAAGTTACATGACATACAGATAATATTAACTAAGAATAGCACAGAAAGACCTTTGTTCAGACATTATTTTCAGCAATACTTTCTGTTTCAGGGATGCTTAGATAAAGCAAGTGCCTGGTTTGAAGATAACATTCTCATTGTTGCTGGTGTCGCCATAGGAATAGCTGTAGTTTTGGTGAGACATTTGATCATTGATTGGTCAATATCTAAACAGCTGTATGATTGGTCAATATCTAAATAGCTTTCTGATTGGTCAATATCTAAAAAATCTGTTTGCATTGTATTCCACAGAATATGTTTTTAATAAAATGGAGTGCTTGTTACACTTTGAAACAGTCAGTCCAATAATCACATATGTTATTGAGTATAAAGATGTACATTGAAGATATAATTATTGACTTATATAGATTACTGAGTACATGAGTTTTGTTGTAATGTTGTAGATACTGGGAATGATCTTTTCGATCGTGTTGTGCTGTGCAATAAGGGACATCCAGGCGTGAATGGTCAGTTCAGCAAATTTTCTATGATATCTACGCGGTATTTTCCAAATCAAGGCGTTAATGTTAAGTTTTGAAAAGTTTTATGTGTAAAGTCTACCTTTTTATTCTAAGGTTAACTTCCGGTTGAAACAAGTCCCATTTCTACGGATATTTGCCTTTAACTTCCTTTTTACAGTATAGTGTTGGTTTCTATAGTAACCCATCCCTGTGGTGTCTTTTTTACACAACTACATGTATTGTCATAATATATGCTTCTCAAGTCCGCCTTTAGCAGTCCTAACTTGCAGTAAAGTAACTTAAGGGACATTAAATCTCTCATTACAGATACAATGACATGCAGACGACTCCTTCAGATGCAGCAGAATTTTGTAAGATGTTGTGTAAATGGTGCCTTTTTACTTACATTTGCTTGTGTTTCTATGTGTTTTAAATGTGCTCGTATAAGTGAGCAGTTTTTCGCTACCAGATCACGTGACCCAGACGATACGTTTGTGTAACTATAATCTTTGACACTGTGGTGAATCAGTCGACAATTATACTGGAATTTGTATCATGGTAGTCAGAACAAAGCGGAAATTCATTTGGAATCCACGTATATGGAATGCATTTTATCAAAACATATAATGTTAATGAGCAGACGTATCGATCAGATGTTTTGTTAATTATTATGATAAAAATAAATCTCTCAAGTTCAAAATGCTCGTTTCACCCAAAAAGTGGTAGACACCACCTGCGCGGAATTGATAGGAGCGGATCAGAAGTGTTTAATGACGCTAATTAGCTGGGTTGACTGGGTACGGTTACACATCAGTGGGCCACTTTAATCGTGAGGTGCAATACTTGTAATGGGATAAAAGGGAAAGAAGTGGATCAAAAACGCATGCGCGTACTCAAGACTGATTTCCGGTTCTATATCCAATCCAGAGGCGCCGAAAACAGTTGGACTGATCTCTCAATCAAAGACACAAAGCTGATTCAATTTTCAAAGAGTTTTTATGTACACCTTGTGTTTAGTGACAGATTTTTATACCTGTAAGATTGTTGTAAGCCTGTCTTTTTTCACAGTTATATTGTGTTATTTGTACATTAGTACAGGACAGTAGAATTATATTTTGATTGATCTGAATATGTAGATGCTGTATATATACATATACATTTATGTACAAACGACAGTAAATAGTTAGGATTATTTTAATTATTAGTATATTTTTATCTATATTTGCTTTTTTACAGCTGTTTGTGGATTTTAATATAGACATAACTGATCATACCTCTTTTTTAAATTGTCAAGAAACTTACTTTGTCTTTTTTTTTACTCATCATACCTCCTATACTATAAGGAAGTGCGGAATTTGCAGTTTATCTTTTGCACATACAGTGAAAATTGAAGCTGGAAATTTTACATTGGCTTCTAACCTTAGAATTTAAATGTGCATACATACAAAACATACCGTTATTTCAACAGCAATACAATAGATAAATAGCAATACATAAATGAGCAAAATAAATCAGTAATTGTAATTATATATGGGTTTTATATTTATTAAACTAGAGAACAAAACAGTCTTTGTTTTTTTTTAATTATATTGCAGTAAACTCTGTGGTACATGCATCCTTGAAACATGACACAACCAAGGTAACAAGAGAAATCATATAAACATACAAGTATAAATGACAAGATAAGGTACCGATTAGAGTTAAAGTTTTGCTTTTAGCCACCAATCTTTTACACAACGTACGGTAACCCAGAAATTTTCAAAATGCATGTTGGTCAGGTTGCATGCATTATTTACTGTATAATTTATGACATACTAGTAGTGATATAAAAGTAATCTGTGTTTAAACAGGAATTGTGGATCAAATTGGTAAATAAAGAAAGAAACGTTCTTAGCTTTTAAAATAAATGTTGAATTTTTTGGTCTGTCCTGTAAGAATTTTTTCTGGCATAGAGGTGCATTATAGTTGCTGAAGGATGTGTGACTAGCTACATTTTACTCGACACACGTTATAGATTTTTAAAGAAAAAACACCTCTGTACACTACTTAAGATAGGGTTAGGGTCGTTTCTGAACAGATTTGTTTGACTTTGTTTAAACTCAGTCTGTCCGTCCATCTGTGTGCTGGCGTATAGAAATCCAGTTCTCATGTGCTCCTGAACTTTCTCGATTTGCACTTTTCTGAACTTCCATTCATGCATAGATATTGGAACATAATACCTTAAAAATAATAGAAAACGATTTTCAATAGTAATCATCAATAATTATAGATCGCTAATATAAAGGAAAATGCAAGATTTACAGAATTATATCTGTAATTATATTGTTTTTCTATAGGGTCTTCACTTCAGGTGAATACGATTCTTCACAAATTGAGATTTGAGTTCTAAATTGAAAAAGAATCTGTGCAAGAGAACCGATATCGATCGCGGAATTCTGTGTTCCGGATTGATTGTTACCTCAGGTAATGAGGGCAGTTTGGTGGCAGTTTTCTCTTTGAGTCGACGTCTGTGGAGCTCTGAAATCAATAACGAAGGATAAACGCATCAAACGTAACCGACTGAATAGGACCAGGCATACAGAAACAGAGGAATTGATGGACATATCATAATTGACAGGGAGACGCCATTTTACTGCGCCATTTATAGATAATCATTTCCCTTGGTGCGTAAAAATAAAACAATAGATGAATATTCTGTGATACCACCCGAGGGTGATCGTTAGTGACACAATACGTTCACAATACAACTGAATATAGTTTAGGGGTCCATTTCCAATAGTCAACGTTTCTTTTTTTTCCTAGTTGGTATCTTAATGAAAAGTCGGACATGCAAGCAATAATCATTATTTGTATTGCAGTCCAAAAGACACGCAACTTCACTGGAACCCGAGATTTATGTACACAATGCTTTGTTGCCTTTGGTCCTGGTTTAATATTAGATTATGCTATAAAATATTTACATCTATTGCAAGAAATGCATCGTTGCTGATCATCTGGGCAATATTCTCTCTATGATACAGAGTACAGTAACAATTTGCTAAGCATACATTTCATATTTCATTTTTTTTAAATGCCTTGATGTTTAGGTATTAATTTTTTAAATCGTTAATCCATCATGTCGGGGAAAAATTGATCGACATTTATTAATAAATAACATTTTCAGAATGCAATATTGTTTATGTGAAATTATTGGAAAATCTAAGGGAAATGAAACAGAGCGAAAAATAATGACTCTCACTAATTACTTACGATGGCCCGTGACGAGCTTTATTACACAATTAATGAAGTTCTCCATGGACATCTTTCCTTCAGAGGAAAAGCGTATGACAAGGGCCTCAATTGTTTTATTACTTCCAGTTATACCTGAAAATAAAACGCTTGTATAAAGCTATCTCGACTTCATCATTTACAAGCAACTAAGTCAAGAATACTAGTATATGCTGCTTTGCAAAAGACAAAAGCCAACCACATTTCTTGCATCAGATTCAAACATGGTTCATCTCATGGTTTACGTTGTCAAAGAATAAAAGGATAATCTGTTCGACAAGTAAATTGACTGTAAATGCAATACTATATGGGCAAATGTTTGATATAAAAATAACAACTCGTATTTCTTATTAACGATTACAATTTTTATTCACTTTCATTATCAGTATCATGTATTTATGTAATAATTCCTCCTACCTAAGGTTTTCAGTATCCTGTATTTATGTAATATTTCCTCCTACCTTAGGTTTTCAGTATCCTGTATTTATGTAATATTTCCTCCTACCTAAGGTTTTCAGTATCCTGTATTTATGTAATAATTCCTCCTACCTAAGGTTTTCAGTATCCTGTATTTATGTAATAATTCCTCCTACCTAAGGTTTTCAGTATCCTGTATTTATGTATTAATTCCTCCTACCTAAGGTTTTCAGTATCCTGTATTTATGTAATAATTCCTCCTACCTAAGGTTTTCAGTATCCTGTATTTATGTTATAATTCCTCCTACCTAAGGTTTTCAGTATCCTGTATTTATGTTATAATTCCTCCTACCTAAGGTTTTCAGTATCCTGTATTTATGTAATAATTCCTCCTACCTATGGTTTCAGTATCCTGTATTTATGTAATAATTCCTCCTACCTAAGGTTTCAGTATCCTGTATTTATGTAATAATTCCTCCTACCTATAAGGTTTTCAGTATCCTGTATTTATGTAATAATTCCTCCTACCTAAGGTTTTCAGTATCCTGTATTTATGTTATAATTCCTCCTACCTAAGGTTTTCAGTATCCTGTATTTATGTATTAATTCCTCCTACCTAAGGTTTTCAGTATCCTGTATTTATGTAATAATTCCTCCTACCTAAGGTTTTCAGTATCCTGTATTTATGTTATAATTCCTCCTACCTAAGGTTTTCAGTATCCTGTATTTACGTAATAATTCCTCCTACCTAAGGTTTCAGTATCCTGTATTTACGTAATAATTCCTCCTACCTAAGGTTTCAGTATCCTGTATTTACGTAATAATTCCTCCTACCTAAGGTTTTCAGGGCGTTCCTCAGACAGTAGGTATCCATTTCTACTTTATCCTCACTGACCTGAGTGTACACTCCCTGTATGTAAAACAAGGATAGGAACATCGGTCAAATTTTATAGAGAATGAAAATCAAATATAACATACAAATAGGTGACAAAATAGAAACTAAAAGAAGACTTTTGGATTGATTGATTGATTGATTGATTGATTGTATGTTTAACGTCCAATTCGAGGACTTTGCGGACTTTAGATATCCTGGAAACAGTTGTTTTACCTGCCACATCATGATTTTGAGCATCAGGTTGCTGAATTCATCGTAGTTCAGCTTGCCACTAAAATCGGTCTTCATTATTTTAAGGAACACTTTTCAAGTAGACATTTTCTTGATTTCTGATGCATTAAAAGATGAACATGAAAATCAAAAGTATTTCATTCCCTAAATCTTACTATGATTTAAGCAATATGTGATATTATTTCATGGCCAAAAAGTGAACCTTTTGAAGTGGGTTAAAGAAATGCAATAAAAAGTGAAATAAATGTAGGTAAGTATATTATTCAAGATCAAAAGTCCATAAAACGATACAATATAGGAGCAGAGCAAACACGGATCTCCAAAACATTATAGGTGGGATCAGGTACCATGAAGCAGTGAGCATCCCCTGCTGACCTGTCACACCCGCCGTGTGCTCTATTTCTTGTCAAACACAGTCTGACTGTTTCCGTGTTTACTCTGCTCCTGTTTTGTATTGTTTAATGGACCCTTGAGCTTGAATACTGTTCGCTATCTCCATATTTTCCATTCGGAATCGGTTCGCTCATCGTCAACTTTCTCTGTCTATGCAGTTATGAAAAATCACTATCACCAGCAGAGGGTTTTAACTTCACCCGGTTCAATTTAATATAAGGAACAACAAACTTAAAGAAGGATCAAATTTTTAACCTGAGGCAGGCTACAAATAAGTAATGTGATGTGACGGGTCTATCAGCAATCTTGCCATGGTCAACATCGAAACCTTCAATGGTTGTTATAATGACCTTGTTAACAAATGAAAACTACCATTGGTTATGACTGACATGTGATCAGGTTTTGTTTATTTAAAAAAACCGAAATATTCCATCTACCTGATATTAAGAACAAACTACTGTAAACCAACTTAAATTCGCGTGCGAGAAATATTCACGAGTTTGGCGAAAGCATCGTCATCACGAATATTTCTCGCCGCAAAGGGGTCCTTAAAGTCCCTTTGTCTTTTAACAACAAATTTAAAAAAGGCTTGATCGTGAAATTAATCGTCGCTTATACTCCTCCTAAGCATAAGTATTTTATGCCCTGCTTAAAGATTTGCATTTTTTGTAGATACGTAGGAGGAGAAAGTTTCCACAGTCGACCTGTCACACGCTGTGAAACCCTAAGAATCAGGATCAGGGTTAAAACTGATGGTTCTTAAAGTTGACAATGAACAGCTGAAGTCGTCCTTAGAATTGAACAGTTCTCACGTAAAATGTGAATATATCAAACATTGTAATACCTCTAAAAAATTTCCCTGTACAAATCTGAACGAAAAAGTCTGATATTTCTAATGTATGGCTGAGCAGGCATAAAAAAATCGATGTTTGACTGCTGAGTGAGATGTTGGACCGCTTACGTCACAGAATGGGCGGGGCTTAGTATCATTTTCATTCGTTTGTGTTTAACAGTGATGGACCTGATGTTACATCAAGGAATACAGTACAACCATGTCAAAAAATGCTGTCGGGAGCAAAATGCGTATTGTCGACCCTCTAACCAAACTGTCTGTCTTAGGCCTAACGGCCTCGGGCAGACAGTTTTATTCTTGGGTCTGACAAAATGCATGTCCTCGAACTCAGTCAATAAATGTATAATATTCACACTCAAAAGTCCATTCAACCGATACAAATCAGGAGCAGAGCAAACATGGACCTCCAAAACATCAGAGGTTTGATCACGTGCCATGAAGGAGTAAGCATTCCTTGCCCCTTGGTTTCACCTGCCGTTTGCTGCTTGTCATAATCGGGAAATAGAAAAATCGGTATACAATTCTGTGTACATTATGAATTATTAATTATTAAAAAAAAGTCGGTCGATCGGCATTCGACTTAATGATAGATTGTGTTTGATGACAAGGTCATTGTATAGACACAGAACCTGCGAATTGATAACTTTAAATGAATCTTTCATAACTTGTTTGTCGAATGCATGTCTGGTTTTAGAAATTGTACGTAGAACGTGCTCTTGCATAAGTATCAAATCAAAGGATACATTTGTTATGGATATAGCTGCTTTACATGCTTGCAGTGAGAGTTTTATCGGTTTGAAGTGGAAATCTATTAAAAAAAGAAAGAAAAGAAAATGGTATGAAGGTTTGAGAAACTGCAGATAATAGCAGTCGAAAACACTTAGTGATTCTACATGTTTGAACCATTATTACAAATATTAAAGGTAATTCTTTAGCTGGTAAGTTATTTTATGATCTTGATTATCATATTTGGTCTTGAATAACTTCCAGACTAGGTTCCAGCATTGATCGAGATAAGTTGTTCTTTTCTAGCTCAAAACATAAGTAAAATTGGGGAGCATAAAAATTTTAAACAATAGAATGCTTGATTGTCATTATGTTTAAAGTAAAAGAAAAAAATATTGAACATTATATTAATGTTTATTTTAATGTGATCTGTATGTAATTGTTAATTTACCATATGATTCTTACATTTTAAAATTTTATCACAACATAAAAGTACGAGGGCTGTTCAATAAATAATGTCCTTGGAGCTCGGAGAGAAGCAAAAGACGCTTTTCAATGATTTAGTCTTCATAATTTAACTTATTAATCTCTTTCAATTAAAACACATTTCCGTAATATTTTTTATCCAATTTTTGATTGATTTTAGAACTCATTGTTAGGTATGACCCTAAGTATACTGGAAAATGGCAGATCCAATGATTTCCTGGACTTGTTTCTTCCTTCTGAAAGATGTTTTTTCACGTTTGGAAGTAGAAACAAGTCAAAAGGTCAAAGATCTGGCGAATATTGTTAATGTGAAAAAACATTAACTTTCCGTATATCCCGGAAACCCCTTTACTCTTCAGGGCGTGCGGGTATGGACACTGTCATGAAGAAATTTAATGTAGTGGATTCCCGATTGTGGGTCCTTCCACTAATAAACTTTTCGATTTTTTTTGGCAAAAAATTTGCTTTCTAGACTCCTCCAGAAATTAAACTGTCTCCCTGAATACGGATATGTACAACAGTACCACTAATATTTAAGAAAATTTCATATAAATCTGTCTTTGTGCTCTTGAAATTCTTTGCTCTTGTCAGACCTTCGCTGTTTTTATCAAGTACATCTTACGATAAATTTTGTTTTGAGGGTTTTAAGCAATAGATTCAAGTTCTATTATCTGTTTAAATACCAAACAAACGTGGATAACTACAATTACTAATAATTTAAAATAATTGTTAAGACATTCGTACACGCTGTCATTTTCACTCATTTTTCAAAATATAGGGTGACCTTTGAGTACTAAGCTTTTTTACAGTCAAACGTTTCTTAAAAATAGTGTATACTACTCCCGAAATGATGTCTATCAAATTTGCTATGTGTCTTAAAGTCAATGATACATCATCAAATATTATTTTTTGAAATTTGGCAAATAGTGCATAAGTTGTTATAATTTTTGTTGGCAAGGACGGTACCCATTTTTGATGCCCATTATATAATTTTTTATCATTAAAATCCACCTGCTCAATTTGTCTATAAAACAGGCACTGGTTCCTGAAAATGTCACGTATTTCAGTGAATATTTCTTAGGGATTTTTAACAAGTTTTACAGCAGCTTTAATGAAGCTTTTATTTGCACTCTAGTTTACTGATTCTTTACCATTCATTTATAATGCAGTGTCTCAAATAGCCCTTGTTTTCCAGCTTCTCACAATGAAACTATGTGATGAAAAGTGGTCACATAAACTGTTATAAATTCATTAAAGATTCAATAATGAGAGAAAGTCAAGCTTAATGTCATATGATATCTGTATTGTATGCCATACAGTTCAGGACATTATTTATTGAACAGCCCTCGTAGACAAGAATATATCTATATATGGAAAAATTAATTATCCATAACCAAATATCAGTTATGGAATAAACTTCTTACTATTTGTGACTTGAAAGCAGCAAGTATGGGAAGGAGAGCGCATGCGCGTTTGCAATAGTTTCTGTAGTCCCAATGCATCAAGTCTATTTGTCTATGTTAAAAAAAAAATAATAGAAATGACTCGGTTATTTCACTGAAAAAAGCATGACAGTTTGATAAGCAAAATATCTTATTAACTCTAAAAAAAAATCCAGAGGAAATAATTTCCGTTTAGCTATGAATCATTTGTAAACGTTTTATGTTAAATGTTTATAGTTCTTTACAGTTGTTTACTAATAGAAGCTTGAGGTCAGTATCTAGACATTTTGTGTTGATGTTCGACATTTTTAGATTTTCCTCTTGTTGATTGAGGAGCATGTTGTTTACTTTTACCTGCTTGGTAAGGGCACAAAAACGCTTGTGAAGTGTATATCTGGCATCCAGGTCAGCAAATTTGTCTTCTGGCTGAAACCAAATTAATGAACAAGCATTGAACATGCAATGAACACATGAGAGAGAGATTTCACTGTAATCATGTTCGTAAAATACCCTGAAAGTATCCCCATTTCCCGACAATTTACATCCCTTAGAACGATAAAAGACTTTTGAATCTTTTGAATATTGTGAAATCACTCATTATCGTTGGGGTTACTTTTCGTTGTTTTCGAGGTATAGAGAAAGTCAAGACTTCCTGACCACCACGAAATGTAAAATTTCTGATTTTCATATGCATTATTACTGAACATTTTCAACCATGAAATCAAATCCCCACTAACCAATATTTTTTTCTCAAACCTCGAAAAAATTGACCCCACGGAAGTATGTGATTTTACAGTATTCGAATTATACCTATAATATTAATTAAATATTTGTCGCTCGCATGAATTAAAATGAGTTTACAGTATTACAAAAAAATCTATATTTCTAGCTCTTGTGAATAAGTCTACCTGGTTTACAAAAAGTTTGTGTCTGGTAAATTTATACTAAAGCAAATATTTGTTGAATGAAGTTATAATAACTAAAGTATATCCGTAGGATATACCTTTATATTTGAAGATAATAGAAATTTACGGAACTGATTTACATGTACAGTATACACCCCTGTACTAGTACTATGTATTATAAGATCATACCTGTATGTACAGCATTGCATCTTCATCATCAAGCTCCCTAGAAATAAAACATTGAAATAAATTATCTTCCTGTTTCCTAACTTTCTCCTTACTTTTAATTGGCTGGATTTATGGCTTTCATATTTCATACGTGTATTTCTTGTGAAAAGATCTTTCCTACCGTATCAATTTTTTTTTACCTCTTGACCTTGGAGTTTGACCCTCTAAAATTTTGACTCTTTTTTGCAAACACCAGACTTTAACCTTCGTCATAACTTTTGAATGGTTTGGGCCTCCTTGATTCAAAGGTATATTTAATGTGACATGGCTTTCCCTTGGGTACCAAAAACTTTGAACCTTTAACCTTGGAATTCAACCCACTATTGAATATCTTTAGCCTTGGTTAAATATATTATAAATTTTTAATAGTTGGTTCTTTAACTTTTTACAGTTTTACATATATTCCTTGTGTCAATACCTCTCCTTAGTTACATTCTGATCTCTTGAACAGATGAGTTTGGCTTGCAATTGAAAAACTAACCTTCACCATAAGGTGTCAGATGTGGACATCAGGGTTTCACAAACACATCTTGTTTCTTGTTGAAATTGGTATTCAATATTAGAATACTTTTAATATGTTTCAGGTTGCAGTTTTGATTGTACACTGTACATGCAGTTTACTGTTATTAGTGATTTTGAAAAATTTTAACTAAATATCATAAGCAGAACAGTTACATACATAAAACAGAATATTTACATTTCCAATGTCTTTGTCCGAGATAAAATTAGAAATAGTTAATGTACTTTATTTCTTCATGAATGCACTGGTTCATACATAGGCGAGGTTAAGAAAAATCATGTGCGGGGCGGGACAAACGTAGAGACAGATGCTGGTCTTAGAGCATGTAAATATAAGGAATAACTGTCAGATTTTTCAATTTCATGACGATGATCAATCGATTGGCTTGCGTGATAATTTTATGCATAAACGCCTTCGGCGTTTATGCAAATTATCACGCAAGCCAATCAATTGATCACATCATGAAATCGAAAAATAAGACAGTTATTCCTTAAATATATTTTCCAAAATATGTCATCAAATATGTTAAATGAGGAATGACCTGCCGAAGAAAATCAAATAAAAGGGCAACCATGAAATATGCAGATGTTTTCCTATCGAAAAATCAAGCCAGGCAACATTGATGTGTTTTAGACTAGGAAAGGCAAAACTTTTCTGACACTGCTTACCGCATTTTACATTTTCCAGACGTAAATATTCTGATGAGGTATTTCCCCTCTACGTTGGGGAAGCTTGTTACGGGCAGAATGACGTAATATCCGGCGGGTAATCTGAAGAAACCCACGTTTTCTCTCTCAGTTTTAAAACCGGTAGTGGCATAAAGTCTGTTGTGATTGAAGAAATTCGCTGTAAGTCTGGAGGATTGATCCTTTGGAACCTAGGGGGAAAAGAAACGCAAGAAATTACTTCACTGGTGAAACGCGTATTCTTCTTTGGCTCTAAATCTAATAAAAAAAAAAGACTGACCGTCTTAGAGATATGCTATTACTTTACATAACAGTAATGACGTTGATGCCTCTCAACTGATTCTGTACGTATGAGAGGATACGTTAAAGAAAACAAAAAAGTGGCCAACTGACAAAAAATTGATTTACAGGGCTTTCAGTGAAATATATGGAGATAAAATCGAACAGTATTCAAGATCAAAAGTCCATAAAACAATACAAAATAGGAGCTCAGCAAACGCAGACCTCAAAAACATCAGAGGTGGGGTCAGGTGCCATGGAGGAGTGAGCATCCCCTTCCAACAGGTCACACCCGTCGTGAGCTCCTTGACATGATCGGGAAACAACGGAAAAATCCGTCATCAATTCAGTGCATAAAACATAACAAGAGGCCCATGGGCCTTATAGGTCACCTGAGCATCATGCAACAACTTTCAAATGATTGAATTTGGTTCATGTTTTAAGCTAGATGCTATGGCATTCACAATTTTGAAAGAAGCACCATTGCTAATCATAATTATACACTTAGCAATTGTTCAGTTTGTTTACTTAATATGGATAAGCAGGGTAGGGGAACAAAAAGTATGTCAACTAATCAGTAATATTCAGCAATAATCCTACCATACATGAACCCCTGACCCTAGGTCTACACATTGCACAATTTTTGAAAAGGCACACTTGCTTATCAAAAATGTTTGATTAATACCAAGGAGCATATTTCAAACAATTCATTTTCAGGATATAAGTAGAGCCCCCCCCCCCCATTTTGGTATCCCTGATCCAGAGGCCTTGAAATTCACAATTCCGGAAGAAGAGCCCATCCCATCATAACTATGTAAATAGTTCATTCTGCATATTACCCAGGAGTAGAGAAAAAGATTTTCATAGATGTAATGTATTTTCACCATATAATCATTATAGAGCCAATTCCTAACACCATAACCCCTGACCCCGGGGACATAAAATTCACAATTTTGGTAGAAGCATTCTTGCTCATCATAAATATGTCCTTAATTAGATTATTTAATACCCAGAAGCAGAGAAGAAGATTTTCAAAGATTTAATGCATTTTCACTATATAATCAATAGAGCCCCGCCCTAACACCAGAACCCCTGACCCTGGGGCCATGAATTTCACAATTTTGGTAGAGGCACTCTTGCTCATCATAACTATGTACTTGGTTAGTTTATTTAATACTCAAGAACAGAGAAGACGATTTTCAAAGATTTAATGCATTTTCACTATATAATCAATAGAGCCCCGCCCTAACACCAGAACCCCTGACCCTGGGGCCATGAATTTCACAATTTTGGTAGAGGCACTCTTGCTCATCATAACTATATACTTGGTTAGTTTATTTAATACTCAGGAACAGAGAAGACAATTTTCAAAGATTTAATGCATTTTCTCTATATAATCAATAGAGCCCCGCCCTAACACCAGAACCCCTGACCCTGGGGCCATGAATTTCAAAAATTTGGTAGAGGCACTCTTGCTTATCATAACTATGTACTTAGTTAGTTTATTTAATACCTAGTAGCAGAGAACAAGATTTTCAAAGATTTAATGCATTTGCACTATATAATCAAAAAAGCCCCGCCCTAACACCAGAACCCCTGACCCTGGAGCCATAAAATTCACAACTTTAGTAGAGGCACTCTTGCTCATCATAACTATGTACTTAGTTAGTTTATTTAATACCTAGTAGCAGAGAACAAGATTTTCAAAGATTTAATGCATTTTCACTATATAATCAATAGAGCCCCGCCCTAACACCAGAACCCCTGACCCTGGGGCCATAAAATTCACAATTTTGGTAGAGGCACTCTTGCTCATCATAACTATGCACTTCGTTAGTTTATTTATTACCCAGGAGCAGAGAAGAAGATTTTCAAAGAATTCATGTATTTTCACTATATAATCAATAGAGCCCCGCCCTAACACCAGAATCCCTGACCCTGGGGCCATGAATTTCACAATTTTGGTAGAGGACTCAATGCTGATTACAATCATACCAACAGTTTGACTGCTTGATGTCCGGGAGTAAAGAAGAAGATTTTTAAAGATTGCACTAATTTTAGTGGTTTTTGCTCCACCCCCCCAGGCCCCAGGGGGGCAGGGACCACGAAATTCACAATTTTTGTTCCCCTTCACCCATAGATGCTATATGCCAAAATTGGTTGAAATTGGTTCAGTGGTTTCAGAGAAGAAGCTGAAAATATTTAAATGTTAACGCACGACGGACGACAGACGACGGACGACGACGGACAAAAACAGATAGCAATAGGTCACCTGAGTTTACTCAGGTGACCTAAAAATGGAAGTAACCATTGTTAATTGACAATACGTTTCTTTTCTTTTTCTTTTACTTTTTGAGGATATTAACTCCATTTGAAGTTGTACTTGGAGGAACAGTTTTTTTCTGTAACATGAAAACCCCAGAGAATATTCCATCTTCATTTTTATACTGGCTGAATTTGACTGTGGATCATTCCGTCTATCCCATCATTACTGCTTAGGGAGGGTGTGACCAGCCAACGGGGGATGCTTACTCCATCTAGTCAACTGATCCCATCTCTGATGTAGAATTTCCGTTGGTCCATGTTTTATTTCCAATGGCCCATATTTTATACCTACTCACAGAGTTGTATTAATTGTTCATAGAATTTTAGATCAATCACCGTTCGTTATCTTCGCCTTTTTCATTTCCAAAAAATGATATGAATCATTTGATCGCAAATAATATTGATTTTTTATATATATGCATAAAACACCGGATATATTGTAAAGCTATATTACAGGAAACAGATTAGATTTTAACCTGATAAATAAGACATCCACATGACAAGAATTGTCTGACGTCACCACATAATGTATACTTCTGCATAAGGGAGATGATGACGCAACAAGCAGACGGCACCTCGAGGTAAAATTGATTGTTGTGCCAAAGTAGAGCTGTAAATGGAATACACAGAATACTATAATGTTGCTTCCTTTAAAAACTGTAATATTAACTATCTGAAGACTTACAAAAAATTACAAAATTTATAACCTATTCATCCCCAAATCATAAAATCATTAGAATATTCATGGTTAAAAATCTTTCAAACAGACACTCTATAGAACAAAACAACGAAAAATTCGTAAAAAATCGTTCCTTCAAATGATCTCAAGATATATATAGGATCTCACATGATTTGTAGTTGGATATGATTTTTATCCAACGAGTTGTGTGTTTTATATCCCAGAGCCTTGGCGAGGGGATAAAAACACACAACGAGTTGGATAAGAATCATATCCAATTACAAATCATATGAGATTCTTTTAATCCCATGTTTTACATTTTGTTTTATACACCACAATCAATGTTTTACACTGTTTTGTTTTGTAGGACTCCACTTTATTTTACTTCATTACGCTAAAGCAAAACCCATTGTGACGTCATTACTGTGGGATACGAAAACGATATCACATGAGCTATATCAGCGGGATAAAGGGGTAAACATGGGATAACAGGTGATATGATTCATCCAAACATTTTATATTGCAATAAAACAGGAATCATTCATAAAATTGTTCATAAAGAAAAAGGTTCATTTATGGCTTTTTGGCCCTGTGTATTTCTAAAAAAAAAAAATTAAAAAAAACTGCATAATTTTTGTTAACAGTGCATTAAAGAGGTCGGGTGGTCGTGGCCGTTTTTAGACTATTTTGATCTCCTTTAGAAGAAGAGCTCCACATAAAGATATGATAAAATGATCAAATTTTAAAACTAAAATTTATGAAATTTTTCTTTGCCAAATGATAGTTGACAGCTCAAGATATCATATCTAAAAAAAAGATAAGTTCTATCTGGTGGTTAATAAAAAAATAATCTGTTGTCCCCCTAGCCTCCTTAAATATCATTTAAATCTTTGGAGATTGCATGTCTATCAAAAATGACGTAATATTCTTGCTAGTCAATGAATTTTTTTCAATATTTAATATAAAGCGCAACCTCTGATCTAAAATAAGCAACTAGTAAGCGATAGAACTGTTTCTAAGGATAACAAGACATATGACATATCAATATTTTTCTTCTCTGAAAGTAATCAAATATATCTGTTTACAATAAAATTCAAGAACATTGCAATTCCATAAAGACTGTATTCCAAGATCTGGAGTTTCAGAGAAAATTTTTAATAGGAAATGAAAGTATTAAGTCTCTACTTTATTTTGATGTTTAATATGGAACATGAAATGTTAGTCTATAAATTCGTATACCTACAGGGCCGTTTTATGCATAAAGTGAACGGAGCTTTTTCAATAAAAAAGAATAATAACTTGTTTATTAAAAAATGTCAGGGTATGAATAAATATTTATTAAGACACTAATCATACAATTAGTTGAAATCAGAAAGAAACTGAGGGTTAAAAATGCATTATTCGTCACTCTCAGGTTGATCATAGTTATCCAGACACTCTCAGTCAGAACACTCCCAACATGTTATTAATTCTTCGATCACTCCTAACATGCTATGAATTATTGGAACACTATAAACATATTGTGAAATTATTGGAACACTTTAAACATGCTATGATTTATTGGAACACTCTAAACATGCTATGAATTATTCGAACACTCTTCACATGTTATAAATTATTCGAACACCTTTTATATGTTATGAATCATGAACACTCTGGAGATATACTGACGTGAGGAGGCTGCCCCTCCGGCGTTGTACCCCACCCTCCACTCTCTGTGTCCTACAGCGGCTCCCCACGACTTTCGGTGCTGGATGAAGGGCTCACATTTCCAGCATTCTGGACCCAGGTGACACACCTCCAACATTGTGAAAATGTTGGAAAAATCAACGAACGACATCCTAAGAATTACAAAGTGTCCGTGATTTCTCTTTCTCCCGTTTGTACTTTTGGGCTTAATTACTTTTTAATTTATTTTAGTAAAAGGTGGTCAATTTTGGATCTATTCTGCATTTTACTTTGTACTTCTACATGTGTATGGCACAATCCAACCGACAAAGAAAGATAACTAAAACGGTTATTACATGTACTTGTATTTTGAATACTTTTGGCTTAAATTTCTTAGTTAGCCAAAGTGTCTTTTTTTTTTTTTACATTTTCATAGTGTTAAACCTAATTTCACAAGTTTATCTGCTTGTCTTTGGAAAAATTAAATAAAAATTTCATCATAAAAACTAAGGGAATCAATGGAATTCTCTCCTTCAAATGATCCACTTTGGAAACAGTGTACAAAATGGTTGTCAGTATTTAATATCAAGATTAGTTCTTTCTATTCTTACCAAAATTCTCCGTCCTCGGAATTTGTTGGTTTTAGTTTTTGTAGAACCTCCTGACTTAAAGCTCCCCAATGTGGTGATCTAAACAAAAATAAAAGGAAATTAAAGAAAACAAACAATTAATGTTAATCAAGAACCTTCACTTCACAAACAACAATAACCATATTTATGATACAGCTTTCTCTTTTTATTTGACGTTTAAAGATGGGTACCCATCACTCCAAGCCCCGTTCCACTCAAAATGTCCCCACGGATTTCTCAGGCGAATCAAAATGATCATGCCATTTTTCACCGGAATCTATAAATAAATTCAAGAACAATCTTATTAGCAATCATGCAATCTAACTTTTTTTTACTTTCATTTGGGAAGGAGAAAAATTACGAAGAACTGATAAAAATGTATTTATTTTGACTTCTTTTACTGTTCAAATTTTGTGAACATTTCTTTGCATCTATCCATCAGCAATATCAAGGGTTAAGCTTAAATACTGTTAGTACAACAATATTTTCGAGAAGTTGTGTAAAACTGTTGTGGATACTGGTACTCAGAATTCCCAGGAACTTTGAGAAAATTTGAAATAACAAATTTTGCTTAAATCAATAGCATCAAAACGTATGACTTTTCCAGTACTTCGTTAAACTATTTTCCACGATCAATTAATGTCCAGGCACTTTTGTATCACTGATGCTTTTTCACTAACAATGGATTTCGTAAATTTACTTACCTTGTACTTACCTTGTACTGGCCATTTGCAACAAACATTCTGGTTTTACACACAAGTACTCTGATGTTGATACCGTATAGCGGGTTATTTTAGCGGGGTGCTAATTTTGGATTATCTTGGCGTTTTGATGATAGTTCGCTAAAATTTTAATCGCTAAAATAGATAAAATCTATCTAGTGTCCATCTGCAAAGAGCGGAGACCCTGCGTCCGCTAAATTAAAGTACGCCAAAATTAATTGCATACCTTTGATCAGGCAAAACGACAAATTTCACACCCGCCAAGAAAACTCGCTGTACGGTATTAAAAAGATGCTTTCTGGTTGACAATTTCTATGTAAATTTGGAAATTATGTTTTCCATCATGTCGGAATACACATGGGTACCAATTATTTCTAGGCCTCTATTCCTATTTATATAAAGTAGAATTTATTCAAAAGCTTATGAGGAGAAGAAAACACTTGCCTTCCACTCGACATTTAGATATATTGACGACGTCTATTCATATGTGGATTCAATATATCTCAATAAGCTTGAAATAAAAGATACTACTGAGTCTGTAACTTTCATTTCATATAAGGTTACTATAATAATACAAGAAAAAGACACTAGTGGTAAGCTAACCTCGAAGCTATATGATAGACGTGATGACTTCAATTTTTCAATCGTCAACTTCCTTGACTTATGAAGGAATTTATCCTTATGACCTGTATTTAGGTTTATGTCTTTCAGTTGATTCGATAATCGAGAACATTCTCTACGAATGAACAACTTTCAAGCTATTTACAGACAAGTTGACGGAACAAGTAAATACAGTCTCGATTAAAGTAATCATTTCGCAAGTTCTATGGTCGATACAATGACCTTGTCAGCAAATAAATCTATCAGTAAGTCAAATGCTGACTGAAAATATTCATAATAATTGTGAGGCAATTGTTTACACACTGGACTGCCCCAGGGATTTTATTTTCCGTTTTTCCCTGATCATGACAAGGAGCACCTAGTGGGTGTAACCGGCCGGAAGGGGATGTTTACTCATTCATGTCACCTGAATTCACCTCTGATGTTTTTGAGGTCCATGTTTGCATCTTTCCTGATTTTTCGTAATGATGTTTAAATGGACTTAAGAGCCTGAATATTTGATACTGTCTATTACCTTTATAATTCATTTTTCTTGAAGGAACTTGCATGCATACAACCTGATATTGTAGGTGTGATTGCCCTTGAATAAACTCACTTGTGCGTAGCCTGTAACACTGTAGGCGTGTCCCGTCACTAAACCATTGGATAATCTTCTTCTCTGGCCTTGGGTCATATTTGTCTGTAAAATAGTCTTCATTTATATCTATCAACTTTTATGTAGAGTGAAATTGTCTCGTGTACCCATTTTCATCAATTTTACAGTATCGAATTTATCATACAGTTGGACTGCTTTAATGGGTTTGGCTACATAATGTCCTCTGTTGTTTAAAGCTTGTACTTGTAATAGATTTCGTTAAATAATGGGCATAAAATACGTCAAGAGAATCAGCGATTTGTACGTACAGATATATAGGTACCAATAAGAGAATCAGTCTTTTGTACGTACAGATATATAGGTACCAATAAGAGAAGCAGTGTTTTGTATGTACAGATAACTACAGATATATATACATGTATAGGTACCAATAAGAGAAGTAGAGATTTGTACGTACAAATATGTAAGTACCAATAAGAGAAGCAGTGATTTGTACGTACAGTTAAACATTGCTGTGATGTCATTCCTTTGTTCTTGCAGTCTAAAATTTTACCTGTGGCAGTCCGATATTAGTGAGCAGTCCGATATTAATCGTAATATCAGACTGCTTCGGTACTGATATCTTGCAAAATTGGACTGTTACTGTTACGGAAATAAAAAATGTGATTAATTAACAAACAGCAATTTATGATTGATTGTAAATTGTTTAACGTCCCTCTCGAAAATTTTTCACTCATATGGAGACGTCACCGTATGCCGGTGAAGGGCTTCAAATTTTGACCTTTACTCGGCACTCAGGGCCATTGAGCAGTGAGGGATCTTTATCGTGCCAACGTCTGCCGCTGACACGGGGCCTCAGTTTTTAAGGTCTCATCCGAAGGACCCCAAACAGCAATTTAAATTTCTCACTACAATGATGATTTTGAAACAATGATCTTACAGAATTGCAAAATTAAATAAAAATTAAACTTTCAATCACACCGAATATACTGTAACAGGAAGAAGAAAATGCAGCAGACCAGATCATTCAGAAAACAAGAGACCCATGGGCCACATCGCTCACCTGAGCACTGGGGCTAGGAAAAAGTAGAAATTGGTTTATTATTGACAAGTTTAAATCCAAAAGTAGTCCCATGAGCAATGGCTTTGCAATTCTTGAGAAGATGATTTTTAAAGAATTTTCCTATATATGTCTATGCAAAACTTTGATTGGCCATTGTTGCCACGCCCTACCCCCGTGGGTCATGATTTGAATAAACTTGAATCTACATTACGGTACCTGAAGATGCTTCCATATAAATATGATCAATTATAGCTTTGTTATTCTTGAGAAGAAGATTTTTAAAGAATTTTCCTATATATTTCTATGTAAAATTTTGGTCGACCATTGTGGCCCTGCCCTACCCCCAGGGGACATGATTTGAACGAACTTGAATCTACTCTAGCTGAGGATGCTTCCATATAAATATGATCAATAATGGCTTTGTTATTCATTAGAAGAAGATCTTTTAAGAATTTTCCTATATATTTCTATGTAAATATTTTGGTCGGCTATTGTGGCCCCGCCCTACCCCCTGGGGTCATAATTTGAACAAACTTGAATCTACACTATCTGAGGATGTTTCCATATAAATATTATGAATTATGGCTTTGTAATTCTTGAGAAGAAGATTTTTAAAGAATTTTCCTCTATATTTCTATGTAAAACTTTGGTCGGCCATTGTGGCCCCGCCCTACCCCCGGGGGTCATGATTTGAACAAACTTGAATCTACACTACCTGAGGATGCTTCCATATAAATATGATCAATTATGGATTTGTTATTCTTGAGAAGAAGATTTTTAAAGAATTTTCCTATATATTTCTATGTAAAACTTTGGTCGGCCATTGTGGCCCTGCCCTACCCCCTGGGGTCATGATTTGAACAAACTTGAATCTACACTACCTGAGGATGCTTCCATATAAATATTATGAATTATGGCTTTGTCATTCTTGAGAAGAAGATTTTTAAAGAATTTTCCTCTATATTTCTATGTAAAACTTTGGTCGGCCATTGTGGCCCCGCCCTACCCCCGGGGGTCATGATTTGAACAAACTTGAATCTACACTACCTAAGGATGCTTCCAAATAAATATGATCAATTATGGCTTTGTTATTCTTGAGAAGATGATTTTTAAAGAATTTTCCTAAATATTTTTATGTAGAACTTTGGTCGGCCATTGTGGTCCCGCCCTACCTCTGGGCGTCATGATTTGAACAAATTTGAATCTACACTACCTGAGGATGCTTCCAAATAAATATAATCAATTATAGCTTTGTTATTCTTGAGAAGAAGATTTTTAAAGAATTTTCCTATATATTTCTATGTAAAACTTTGGTCGGCCATTGTGGCCCTGCCCTACCCCCGGGGGTCGTGATTTGAACAAACTTGAATCTACACTACCTGAGGATGCTTCCGTATAAATATGATCAATTATGGATTTGTTATTCATTAGAAGAAGATCTTTTAAGAATTTTCCTATATATTTCTATGTAAATATTTTGGTCGACTATTGTGGCCCCGCCCTACCCCCTGGGGTCATAATTTGAACAAACTTGAATCTACACTATCTGAGGATGTTTCCATATAAATATTATGAATTATGGCTTTGTCATTCTTGAGAAGAAGATTTTTAAAGAATTTTTCTCTATATTTCTATGTAAAACTTTGGTTGGCCATTGTGGCCCCACCGTACCCCCGGCGGTCATGATTTGAACAAACTTAAATCTACACTACCTGAGGATGCTTCCATATAAATATGATCAATTATGGCTTTTTTATTCTTAAAAAGAAGATATTTAAAGAATTTTCCTATATATTTCTATGTAAAACTTTGGTCGGCCATTGTGGCCCTGCCCTACCCCCGGGGGTCATGATTTGAACAAATTTGAATCTACACCATCTGAGGATGCTTCCATATAAATATTATGAATTATGGCTTTGTCCTTCTTAAAAAGAATATTTTTAAAGAATTTTCCTATATATTTCTATGTAAAACTTTGGTCGGCCATTGTGGCCCCGCCCTACCCCCGGGGGTCATGATTTGAACAAACTTGAATCTACACTACCTGGGGATGCTTCCATATAAATATGATCAATCATGGCATCGTTATTCTTGATAAGAAAATTTTTAAAGAATTTTCCTATATATTTCTATGTAAAACTTTGGTCAGCCATTGTGGCCCCGCCCTACCCCCAGGGGTCATGATTTGAACAAACTTGAATCTACACTACCTGAGGATGTTTCCCCATAAGTTTCTTTTTTCCTGGCACAGTGGTTCTTGAGAAGAAGATTTTTAAAACATACAACCAAATTTTCATTAATTCCCAATTATCTCCCCTTGAATGAGGGCGTGGCCCTTCATTTGAACAAACTTGAATCCCCTTCACCCAAGGATGCTTTGTGGTAAGTTTGGTTGAAATTGGCCCAGCGGTTCTTGAGAAGAAGTCGAAAATGTGAAAAGTTTACAGACAGACGGACAGACGGACAGACAGACAGACGGACGCCGGACAAAATGTGATCAGAAAAGCTCACTTGAGCCTTCGGCTCAGGTGAGCTAAAAACCCAAACAAACAAGCAAAGCTGGTAAATTTCTAATAACTTATTAAACTTGAAAAAAATGTTTCAACCCCTTTCCCTGGTTTTATAAAAAGAGTAGGCGCATTCGGGGCCACCAAAGAAGCACAAAAACTTTCAAAACCCCAAAAAATAAATTCAAAATAAAACAAAAACTTCAGACAATACAAAGAACAACATTCAAACAGTTTGATTTCATTTTCTCATAGAAAAAAAAATGCCTAAGCAAAATCAAGGTAGCTAGGCCTAGTATATGATAATTAATACTTAATTCGACAGATTCGCAACAAATTTTGAAAGAAATTTAAAGAACTTCATTTCAAGGTTTCCCTCAAACCCCCTTGATTATGTTTGTTTTTCTGTAAAAGAGGTACATATAGACGCTAATCATTACAAAATGAAATGGACTAATAAATGTAACTCCAGCATCCGCTTAATTTTCTGTGATTATTCTTCATATCTGCATTTTCTATTCCATTCCAAATTCATCATTCACTAGATTGTCTGTATTATAATTCGTTGCTCTGCTTTAATCTCCGTATATGTTTTAAAGGAAGAAAAAATTTGTCCCCACTCTCCTTATAAAATTATTTCAAATACCTTTTACAGTGCAGCCGAGTACTATTCATTTAAGCCTGCATTCTTGAAAGAATTGCTTCAGTGGTCATTAACACCTTTGTTTTGTCTTTTGTTCTAATATCGGACTGTCTCAGGTAAATCAAAAGCAATGTTTTAACATGCCAAGAAAACCTTAGCGTTCTCTCCGTATAGCAAACTCAATAAAAGCCGAATTAACATTAATCTGTGATTCTTCCCCTGGGAGACGTGCGGAAGCAATTAATGTCTGCAGTTTTGAGGGAGGGATCTTAAAATTTACTGGGTTAGAATTATAGGTAGAATATTAGTTATTTAGAAGCCTTTGCCCCCCCCCCCCCCCCCCCCCCCCCCCCCCCCCCCCATTGTCTTTTTCGGGTGGGGTGGGGGGTGAAGTTAATTATAGTAAAGTAATTCTTTAATAAAATAAGCTGCCTTTCAATTTTTTTACGTAATTCAATTTCAAAATATTTTTTCTCAGTACAAATAAATTGACATCGGGTAGTTGTGGAAGTACCGCGTCGAAATATAAATAAAAGAGTACCAAATTTCCGGAAGTTTACATCATTTCCTGGTTGAACAAGATGGAGACGAGTACTGAATGGGTAGACGTTACCCGATTGGCTATGTGTATATTTTCATTTTAAAGTGAATATTTTCTTTTGATTGTTTTTTTCTTATTTTCTTCAGTCCAATATTTTTTTAAAATAAACGTATTTTGTAAATAAAGATATTTGACAGTAACTTTTTAGGTATTTGTACCACTTCCTGGGGTAGAACTTTATTTTTTCTTTAACTAAGAAAGCTTAAAACCTAGGATCCACCCCCAGAAGTCTGCTGCCGTAAATTGTCTTGCTGGCGTTTTGGGAATATG